TATCAAACTGACTCCTAGATTATCAGACCTTTACGCAGCCAACTATCTTCCGATGCTAAACCACCTCTCAACCCTTCTGACCAAATGGTCTTCCCTTCCCCTCGCTTGGCTCGGCAGAATAGCAGTTATCAAGATGTCAATCCTCCCAAAAATTCTATATCTGTTTAGAGTCCTCCCTGTCCCAGTACCTCCTCATTACCTCCGCACACTGCAGCGTCGCATCTTTTCCTATGTATGGGGCAAGACTCGTCCTCGTATACCTCGCTCCACCCTCTATCGCCCTAAGCTCAGTGGAGGTGTGGGCCTACCCGACATTACCAAATATTATCAGGCAGCACATTTAGCCCAATTGCCTAAATACCATGCAACTTTTGAAATCCCTCAATGGGTTGCGCTTGAATCGATAGAATGTGACCCTTTATCTACCGCAAACTTACTCTGGTTGAGGCCGATGGATCGCCGCTCTATAACCAACCCCATCACTTCTCACTTTCTATCCTTATGGGACAAACTGAAAACCCGTTATCTTCTCCAATCACCACACAATCCTATGCTCTCGTTCCTGCGAAATCCAGCTTTCCCCCCAGCTTGGCAGGCACCCCTTTTATTCAAAGCCTGGTCCTCTGCTAATTTACTCCGTACACATCATTTCCTACAGAGGAATAAGTTTAAATCCTTTGCCTCGCTACGGGAAACGCATAGCCTCCCAGCCTCCGAGATATTCCGATACTTGCAGCTACAACACTTTTACGCTCCCTATACCACAATAACCAATCGGCCAGACACCATGTCTTTCTTTGAACGAGCATGCTACAAAGACCCTCATAGACGTGGGCTTATCTCCTGCTTATATTCACTTTTCACTACTTCGATTAACACGTCCCCCCCTTTGTATACCCATAAGTGGGAAGTGGATATAGGAAAGACATTTGACCCGTCTGAATGGGACCGCATTTGGGCCAACACAAAATCATCCTCACAGAACATTGTAACATTGGAAACGAATTATAAAGTCCTAACCCGATGGTACTTAGTCCCGGCGAGAATAGCAAAATTTACCCCTAATTACTCACCCAACTGTTTTGTACAGACCCAGGAACGCATTACCATATGTGGTGGGACTGTCCAATAGCCCGAACCTTTTGGGGTGAAATCTTCACCATAATATCTACACTTAGCACTACCACCCTACAACCATCAATAGCCCTACTCAATCAATGCCCCCCTGGCATCTCCAATTTGCAATTTAGGCTCATCATGCAAGTTACAACGGTGGCTAAGCAGGTTATAGCAAAATCCTGGAAATCCCCCACCCTGAGTATCGCGGCCGTCAAAACTAGAATAACACAAGCCATGATACATGCAAAGGTGGAAGCTACAATTCTTGACACGATTCCTAAATTCTTACGCATATGGAGCCCCTGGATAGAGAGCTTTCTCCCCCCTAACATTGACGAATCACTCCTTCTCCCCTGATTTGTATACAATGCGCTTTGGATATACTCAATAGCCCTTTGTACGTAGCACGCAGGGGCGGTTGTAAACTTGTTGAACGATCATGGAGTCATGGTTGTTGTTCCACTTTCCCTCTCCCCCCTTCCACCCCGGTTTGACCCCCCCTTCAAATTTCCCCCTATTTCTTTAATGCACTCGGGAGACATTACCGTGATTGGCGGGAACAATACTGTCTGTTATGTCAACCTGTATCTACCTGTGTATGCTAGTAGCATATAGACATTTGTATTGTGAATCTCATTCATTTTTTTATATATATCCTATTGCCACTTCCATGTCCATTATACTGTAACAATGTCTCCTTGTTTGTTCCACTCTGCTTTATTGTTAATAAAATTGTTTGAACAAGAACTTCCAGATGCCTTCCTGGAGCCTCAGCAGGAAATTAAAGTGTTGGGCATCAAATTTGGTCTTGGTGACTATGGTCATCAAAATTGGGAAAGCAGGTTGATAGATGCCAATGCCAAAGTAGCAGGCTGGAAGAGATGGAGGCTTTCATTGAGGGAGAGGATTGACATGATCAAAACATACCCGATCCTGATCTTTTTATATGTTAGCTTCATTTGTATATTGCCGGTATCTCTCTGTGCAAGGGTCTACAGCTCTCTTCCAACTGTTATGGGGAAATAGGCTAAACCTGATCAAACACAATGTAACTTACCTGTCCAGGTGGGAGGGTGGCCTAGGAATGGTCAACCCGATTGTTTTCTTTTCATTACTCTTTTTAAAGTACAATCTGGGGTGGGCAATTTTCAATCTTGATTTGTCTTTTCTGCATTGCTGGGAAGACTGTGGGCCAGTGAAAAGTCTGAGAGTTCGACATGGCAAGCTCACGGCTTATGTTGCCCCGTGTCTGAAAATACTTCGTCAGTGGCAGGTGACAGTGGAGGATATCAGGTCCCTTTCCAAGAAGCTTCCGAGGGAGAGGATTTTGGCTTCTGCTTTCAGTGTGTCACTGGCCTTAAAAGATTGCCCAGGTTCCGTAATGAGGGAGGGGTTGCATTTAATTAGTTTGGAGAGAATCCCTTTGACGTTTAGGGATCAAGCCTGGCTCGCTTTCCATGGAAGGCTCTATGTAAGAGGGAACCTGATGCACCGCCCTGTGGATGATTGGGATTGTCCTAGAGAGGAGTGTGTTGGTAAAGTGGAGTCTATGGACCACTTTCTGCTCCAGTGTCCATTTAACATAGAGGTATATAAAAGGGTGGGGAGGGTTTCTTGGCATTCCCTTTCTCTATCGCATGAGTTATGCAGAGTGGGTGTATGGTGCATTCCCAGCTCGCAGGGACTTTGATTTGGATACACTTTTTCTAGTTAGTATGGTTGTTTGTTACTTCACGTGGAATGCACGGTGTCAGATTACCCTGCGGAAGAAAGTCCTTCCTGTCAAGGTGGTGGTGCACAATAATCTGGGTGAGGTTGGAAAGATTTGGGGTCTTGAGAAGGGCAGGGAGCCTTGGGCAGTCTGGATAAGGGCGTGGAGGAATATCAGGCCTGCCTTTGGTGAACTGTCCATCTCTGGGTGAGGGGCTCTTTTCTTATGCTGTTCTTTTCACTCTCTTAGTTTTGTTGGTTAAGATCTTCTTTTTGAAGAAGGGCTGCATGCATAATGGGGGTGGGGTTGTTTCTTGACCTCCCAGGTTTGATGTCTGGTGTAGTGATGTGAGTCGGAATAAGATTTATTTCCCCCAATAATGTCATGTTCATTTCTGAGTTTTGCTGTTGTCTGACAGCAGATTTTGCTATATTTATTTTCGTTTTTGTGTAAATATGTATATAATTATTTATTTTTGTATATTCTGTATATGATATTATGTTTATTGATTGCACGATTTTTAATAAAGAAAAACTGGGAAGAATGCTTCTCACATTGACTGTCAGTGGAAAGAATATTCCTTCCCTTGGTTGCCATTGGGAAGAATATCCCTTTCATTGGTGGTCAATGGGAAGAATGTCCCTTACATTGGTGGTCAGTGGGAAGAATGATCCTTACATTGGTGGTCAGTGAGAAGAATGTTCTTTACATTGGTGGTCATTGTGAAGAATGCTCCTTACATTGGTGGTCAAAGGGAAGAATGTCCCTTACATTGGTGATCAGTGGGAAGAATGTCCCTTGCATTAGTGGTAAGTGGGAAGAATGCCCCTTACATTGGTGGTCAGTGAGAAGAATGCTCCTTACATTGGTGGTTACTGAGAAAAATAATCCTTACATTGGTGGTTAGTGAGAAGAATGATCCTTACATTGGTGGTCAGTTGGAAAAATGTTCCTACATTGGTGGTCGGTGAAATGAATGCTCCTTACATTGGTGGTCAAAGGGAAGAATGCTCCTTACATTGGTGGTCAGTGAGAAGAATGCCCCTTACATTAGTGGTCAGTGGGAAGAATGCCCCTTACATTAGTGGTCAGTGGGAAGAATGCCCCTTACATTGGTGGTCAGTGGGAAGAATGCCCCTTACATTGGTGGTCAGTGGGAAGAATGCTCCTTACATTGGTAGTCAGTGGGAAGAATGCCCCTTACATTGGTGGTCAGTGGGAAGAATGTCCCTTACCTTGGTGGTCAATGGGAAGAGTGCCCCATTGTAGATATGTAAAAAGATCATTGTCAGTGATTACTTATCTGGGAGGCAGAAACTGCTTTTTGCTGGAGGAACCACTAGGCTGCTCTGTGCAAAACTAGAAAAAAAAACATTTTTATTGAGTTATGTGTATTTTAATTGTACAGTAAGTCAAGACATGCCAGGTTTTATTTTGTATTTTGTTTTTTTTTTATTTTCTTAAGTTGTTTGCTGCTAGAAATGCTATCAATGTCTATTTGATGCTGGAAATGGAATATAGCTGGTTGCAGCCAGAAAGAAACTTGGAATGATGTGTGACTCTCACTGCCTATACAGGAACCCCCGTGGAGGCTGAGTACCCCATGAGACAGTATAAGCAAGGCTCCTGTCATCACAATGCATACCGTAGCTGCCACTGTTTAGAATCACTAACTATAACAGCTCTTGTTTTTTTGCCAGCTTTCCAACGTGTTATTTTCTTGTCTCTTTCTCTCTCCCTGAATTATTATCTTAACACTTTACCCTTTTAGGCATGTTTAAAGTCTTAGCTGTGACTACCAGTGACTTAATTATTGTTAAAGCTTATGCGGGCATTGAACAAGCTGATATCACTTGAAACAGCAATTGCTTTTTGACATTGAAAGCTCTAACATTTTTTTTTTTACTGTTATTACTCAACATTCAAAAATGAAAGAGAAAAGTTCACAAAATGTATCATACGAGGGACATTCAAGCCAAACTGGGACTTTTGAGTTTATATAATAAATGAACACATATCAAAGAGTGGAAGCGACATTTATTTTGTAACATACTCCCCTGCTACATTTATACACTTATCCCAGCATTTAACTAATGCCTGGGAAGCTTCGGCATAGAAAGATTTGCCAGTACGCCTGAACCATCCTAGGACAGGCGCTTCACTTTGTGATCATTGTGTTCACCGTTCCCACAGAAAGATTCGTCTCTTGTGCAATTTCACAACAGGTTATGTGTTGATTATCCAGGATCAGGCATTCCATGTGCTGAATGTTCACAGCAATGACTGCTGTGGGTTGGGAACCACCATGGCTGGGATTGTCACTGATGGACGTGCGGCTATCTTTGAAACATTTACACCATTCAAATGTCATACTGTGGCTGAGCATCTCATCACTGAACTGTGCTTGAAGTCCTTTGTAGATATCTATGGGTTTTACACCTTCGTTCCCAAGAAACTTCATCACCACACACTGTTCCATGCACACACTAACGCTGTTGTCTGCCATCTTGATTAATGGTCTTTGGACTGACCTGTGACATGTGCGCCGCCCATCAGTAATAGGACACACTTGCCAATTACTATTATTTATTTATTTCAGGTACTTATATAGCTCCATCAATTTATGCAGTGCTTTACATATATATATATATATATATATATATATATATATATATATATATATATAGTACATTCACCTCAGTCCCTAACCCTCAAGGGGTGTACAATCTAAGATCCCTAACTCACATTCATACATATACTAGGGCCAATTTAGACAGGATCCAACTAACCTACCAGCATGTCTTTGGGGTGTGAGAGGAAACTGGAGTACCTGGAGGAAACCTACACAGGCACAGGGAGAACATGCAAACTCCAGGCAGCGGGTGCCATGGCTGGGATTTGAACCAATGGCCCTAGTACTGCCAGGCAGAAGTGCTAACCATTTAACCACTGTGCTGCCCCTTCTACTACTGCATGTAGTACCGCCATGCTTGCATTCCTTTTTATACCTGTAAAATTAAAATGTCCTGGTTTGAGTTGAACACCCCTTTTATATCTATATATATTTTTATATATATATATATATATATATACACACACAGGCATATACATTTATCCTCAAATATGCTGGACTTTTTTCTACCAGAACGTAGCAGAAAAAAATGCTTCTAAGGTCACGTATGTACACATATGTACATACATATGCACATATAGCATATGCACATATAGCGTCAAGCATACATGCATTCTATTGGCTAAAATATTAATCTATTCTGGCCAGTGGAATACGTTTATGCATGTATGCTCCAGGGCGCCTCTCAGAATGGTAAATCCTTATGTGTTCATGGAGACATAGGCTAACATAGAGGTGCCTCTACCTAAAAGAAAAAAAAATGCTGTTCACCTGTATAAGTGCACCCTAAAGTGTATAGACATAAAAAGAACTACAGAGGAAAACTAAGATATCCTACTTTACCTGCTAATAAAATATGGAGGCAGGAAATATAACTCGAGGACGGTATTGATTTAAAAAACTTATTCCAGTTCCAAGTTACAAAAAGCTTGTTTTTCTGCTTACTAGGTAAGTTTTTTATTTTATATGAAATCCACAGGAAATGATTCAGTCTTTGAATACGTAATGCAAGATGCTTTATTGTCCATTCCAGTGGTTTTCTTTCTTATCTTTTTCCTAATTGATGTCATGGAGACCAAGCTTTGTGCCATGTTCAGGTTTGAAAGTCTCCACTAAATGTTCTCAGCTCAGATTAGTCACAAATGTATTGAGCCTTCCAGTTCTAATGCCTTTTGGGCAATGACACTCTATTCCCCTAATGCAATCCAGTGAGTAATGATGTCAAAGACAGCTCATTCTAAAAGCTTCTTCTATGGGAACAGTTTCATGATAATACATCTCGTACTGTATGCAAAGGTTCTCATTTATCAAGGTCGTGATATACTGTAGTTAGCGGTTAGTCACATTCAACAATTCAGAAAATTTCCAGCTGAATGTAACAAGTGGCTTACTCTACACCTAGATTTTTCTCTGTTGGAGCCCCGGAGGTTTACACCAAAAATAAATTATATTTCTTTTTGAATGAGGATGTGTGATTAGGACACTGTTCTGGTTATTCAGTACAGGGGCAATCAATCTCTCCAACAGCTAGACAGTTCTAAAAATCTTGTAGACGTTCTAACCCAGGGGTGTCCAACCTTTTGACCTTCCTGGGCCAAATTGGAAGGAGAGGAATTGTCTTGGGCCACACATAAAATGCACTAACAATAAGGAGAGCTGATGAGCAGAAATGGTCGGGCCGATCACAACGAAGTCCGGAAGTGACGAAACGCGTAGGGAAGTGACGTCAAGACGCACGTACGTAGACCGGACGTGTCGCCGTGGCCATTTTGTTGGTTTTCAACACATGGTTTTCTATGGTGTTTGATTGAAAAAGCTTGGAACCATGTCTGGAGCTGATATTTTTAAATTTCAATGTAAGTGATGAATAAAAAGTTATCCCTATGCTTTGAATACTAGTCCCGAGATCCTTCTTATCTCTCTGAGGACCTTGGAAAAAACTTCTTGGAAGAGAATGTGGAGGAATACTTTTCCATAGTATTGTTTGAGCATTTCAATACTCATAGAGGGTAATAGTATTTAGTACTACTGTGTGTTGGTTGATGGTAGACACTGAATTGCAGTGACCACAGAGTGCTCACAGTTCGATTTGTGTGATTATATGCACTATAAGAAAATAATTTGGATTTGAAATTTTTTTTTTTCTTTTGCACAAAAGGTTTTTTGAAGTGTATTTTGGTTGTACGGGGTGATTATTGTTATTATTATTATTAAGGTAATGCACTAGATATTATTATATTTTTTACTTCGAGGTGCGTTTTGGATGAAATAGCAGCCAATCCTTTCAGTGGATGAAAAGAGTGAAAAAAATTTTGGGATATTTGTGGACACTATTTTGGACTTTCTTTTTGGACACTTATTTGATCAGTGGGACTTTATTGTATATTATATGTTTAAAATCAATTTATTTATTTTATTTATTTTTGTAATTCACAAAGGTTTTCACTAAAAGGTTTTGATATGTATGGATCACAATTTATCGTTTAGTGATATAGATTATGTACCTATCTGAGGAATAAATGTTCATTCTTTGTAATATTTTTTATTATAAAAGTAAAATAGGACAACATAAAAGTAGCGCTATAATTATTTGATAAACTGACGCATCAATATCCAGTTGGATAGATGAAGTAGCAATTCTCAATGAATTCTCAAGGTGCTCAACAGATATTTTAGGTTTAATTTTGTCCTCCGTTTGTTTCATCCTTGAAAATAGTTGCTCACAAATATAGGTGCTGCCGAAAAGTGATGAAATGAAAAAGGCGTGATTGCGAAGAGTGGAAGATAAAAGTCCAGTATAGAGACACTTCAAAAAATGTTTAATCAGTTTAGCTCTTTGGACGTACTACGTACATCCAAAGATTGAACCTTTAATCACAAGCTGATGGCTGTAGTAGCTTGTGTGGTTTGTTTAGCCTCCCAGCTTGAAAGTGAAAGTGATGAGGCAACTCCATAGGTGCCCAATCACTTTCACAGAGCCTGCAGCATGGTGCCCCCCTCCCACCAGCACCCCCCTCCTCCCGTTGATCTCCCGCTTTTAATGGAGGCCTGGAACACAACTGGAGGTCTGGAACAGATCAAGGCAAATCATGCCTCAATCTCACATGCAATGAAATTAGAAATGATGCAACATCCAGTTTCAGATGCACAATTTCCTGGCCTGTACAGCCAGGGGGCACATCTAATCAAGGACACATCTAATCAAGCCGGTTTGTGCTTTGTTAGAGTGAAGGGCAGGGGAGACATTGGGGTCTGTTAGACCCCTATTGTCTTTACATGTCACCTGCCCAGTGCAATCATATAGGGTTTTATTCACCCCCTGTGATAGTGATCAGGTACAAAAAATGTAACAAAGAGAAAAAGTTTTATAAAATAAAATCATAACAAAATATATTAAAATGAAAAAAAAATTACCATAACACCTGTTGTCCCACACACCTGCTCAAACACAAGGGTGTGCCGTGTATATATAAACCACAGTCAAACCACACGTGTGACATATCGCCATGAACACGACGGTAATATCCTTGATCTCATCTTCTCCAACCACTGCGCTCCCCACAACCTCACAAACACCCTCTTCCCTCTCTCTGACCATAACCTGATTACCTTCTCTATCTCCTCGTCCTCCAACGCCTACCCCTCCAAATGTCACACTACTACCAGCCGTAACCTCTGCAACCTTAACCCTGCCCCCCTCCACTCTGCAGCTGATCAACTGCACGACAGCATCCTCCCCCTGTACTGCCCCGACTTGGCTATGACTGCCTACAACAATGCGCTATCAACAGCCCTTGACTCACTAGCGCCTTTAACCACAAGCAACATCAGACCCCGACCACTCCAGCCTTGGCAGACTGATCACATCAAAACCCTCAAACGTCGCAGTCGTGCCCTGGAGCGACTATGGCGCAAAACCAAATCCCAACAAGCCTGCACCCGCTACAAATCTGCCTTCCACACCTACACCTCCTCCCTCCACGCCGCCAAACAAGCCTACTTCCTGACCCTCATCAAGGCCCTCTCCTCCAATCCTCGCCGACTCTTTTCCACCTTCAACTCTCTACTCTCGCCACCCCCACCTCCACCCAGCAGCACCTCACTCACTGCCCTTGAGATTGCCAATCACTTCAAAAACAAGATTGACACAATTCGCAAGGACATCGCCGCAACTCACACACCCTCTCAACCTTTCCCCTCTCACACAGCTACCCCCTCATCCCCCCTCCCCCTCGACATAACCCGCAGGGACTTCGTCGCTGCTGAAACTCCCTCCAACTCCATTCCCCCTCACTCAGCTATCCACTCATCACCCCTCTCCCACGGCCCCACCACTGCTCTGACCCCCACTTCCACCCCACCCTACATTCCTCATACTGAAGCCCCCCCCCCAACACTCCGCACCTTTGACCTTACTACCATCGAGGAAGTCTCCAAGATACTCTCTGATGCCCGCCTCACCACGTGCCCCCTCGACCCTATCCCCTCACAACTCCTACGACCTCCCTCCCCCTCCATCCTGCGATCCTTCACCCACATCTTTATTCTCTCCTTCTCCTCCGGCACTTTCCCCTCCCCTCTGAAACATGCACACATCACCCCCATACTTTAAAAGCCCTCCCTGGACCCCAATGACCCGAACAACCTCAGACCCATCTCCCTGCTCCCATTTACATCTAAACTCCTCGAGCACCTAGTCTACACCTGCCTAAGCTCTCACCTCAATGACAGCAACCTCCTCGATCCCCTACAGTCTGGCTTCCGTCCCCTACACTCCACCGAAGCAGCCTTACTCAAACTCTCCAACGACCTGCTAACCGCCAAAGCTAATGGCCACTATTCAGTGCTCCTACTCTTTGACCTCTCTGCGGCCT